ATTACGTTCTACATTAGCAGGGCACTCAGGCCACAAGTTATAACACTATTCATATCTACAATATAACTTATCGACACTTATCGTAACTAATTTATTGGGAGAGACTCTAATTTATGAACGAGCCAATCAGAAGGGTTTAAGAGAATTTTGTACAAAACGTGATAATTGAGTGGCTATAACAAGAAAACATAGTTAAAATTAGTTTAAAGTTCTGCCAATTTTGATCATGAAAGTTGTGAAGATCATCTCACATTTTAATTAGTCAATTTAACCAATCCTTATAAAGCTATTTACTTCATTTTAACCAATTAGCTAGTCACAAATATGATCTTATTGAAAAAACGATTTTAATTGCCGGTTTCATGCTAATCATTTTCAACTTAATGGTATCTACTTGACAGATCGATCAGAGGTTTTCTGATTGTTCATTCTGGAACTTAAACGAACAACAACAATCAAATGCAAATTATAATTGCATATCTTGTGGGGTATTTCCAGGGATAACTGATGAGGGTTATCGAGGAATATTATTTGCACAACCTCCTGAATCTACAAATCAAATCACAAAAATATATTCAGGAGGACAAATAGTATAAATTTCTTCGATAATCAGATGGAGATTATATTATTACACCTTGCTGTGAGACTGATGGTTTTTCTGGTGACTGTTTAACTAATTCGACTGCTTCATTTTCAACTCAACTAGGTTATATAAATCATTCTTATGCGAACACTGCACTTATATGACAGGTACAACTACTTTACAAATAGATTCTGAAGTTCGAATACAGAGTCCCTACGTTGCAGAGGATTCTTGTTTGCAATATCCTCTAACAGAGTATTTTCCACTTATTTCATCAGATAAATGATTTTTCATATCAATCCAGTAGACACAAACCAAGAACTCAAACATTCTATTTTTACAATCCTACTTCTTGTCAGTCAAATGACCTTATCTGGAACTTCCTGACTGTTCGGATTTATCAAATCAGATTCACTAGGAAACTTGATATGTCGTCATTTCCCTTAGTTATCTCCTTGGAATTACTTTTCAGTTAATAAGAGTGTCTAAGATATAAATACTTTGAAATATTGGAAATTCCTATCTTGTAATGTAGAACAATTCAACATATAAGCAAACATGATTTGTCTCAGTCAGATCTTTATAAGTCATTGTTTAAATATACAGTAATATTTATATGCATATTTATTAGAAGATAGTTTGTGAGATAATGATAGTGAAATAAACTAAATAGCTAAGTAATAAGTAGGAAGAAGTGGAGATTGATGTTGTGATGATAAATGTGCCAACATTGGTAAGGATAATAAGGGTTTGAATTAAGGTTTCGAAATAGGAAGAAAATCATGGTTTGGTGAACAATAAGTCAAATCGATTAGAGACCGAATGACATAGCAATCCCGAAAAACTATTGACATTATTAAGGCTTCTTATTACTTACTTCTTTGTAAAAATCGACTTTTAAAAACTAGGTTAGTTGTTTCTTTGGATATAATTGTAAGGACATGGGAAACTGATATTGATATATGTGTATTCTGGAGGAAAATCTTAAAGTGGTCAGCCTCTTTCATAAAATAACTACAACAAAATGAAAGAACAACATTACACAAACAGCACAATTATCGGAAATTGAAACATCAACAACTGGAGCATTATCACAAAATCAGCAAAAAACGGATAATGTGTAAGACATGGCATCGATGATGGCTTACAAAAATGGTGTAGCTAAAACTCCAACCGTTAACGTGACCAAAGGTGGGAAATTCAGCACTCACTACGGCAATAAGTTGTCTTATTAGAATTTGTAAAAGAGGTATAAGAATGATCAGTATAGGGCATTTGTCGACGTTGTAGCATTTTCATATTTTACGTGACGGACTGATCTTAGCTAGATCATCATTGGAAACCTGAAAGTACTGGACGAACATTTCGTGTCAGTATAGGAATCCTCAGTAGTGGATATCCACGAC